AATAAATAAAATCAGAGTATAGAGGAAAAAAATTGTAACGAAAAAATAATATATTTAAAGAAAAGAAAGAGTGACAGTTTCATAGAGGATAGAAACATAGAGAAATATTATTCATGACTATTAATCGATCAATAAGATGTTATAATAGTAATTCTTTATAGATTTAAATTAAGAAAAATTTCATAACATCGAAAAATACAATTAATTTGCAGTGAAAAGAATAAAGGTTTATAGATAAAAAAAAATAAAAATATTTTAATTAGAAAAAAAAATTTGCTGATATCTATAGTCCGAAAATGATCTTGATCACACGTAAATATTGGCAAACGATATGATTGTTATATGCATTGTTTCGATGAGTGAATGTCGATCCCTCGTTTTTTACAGCCATATCGGTTTCGCGTACGTTGGTCGGTGTTGAACACTCCACAAAATATATACGCTACTTTGTTCATTGTATGTATGTATATAGCTTGGATAGTGGGGCGATACGTCAACGAGAAACGCGCTCCCCAACTAGCCTCGAGGTGTGCTCGTGACAGAGAATGAGTAAAATGTAGGGTTAGGTTGACTAGTGAGCGAAATCAACGACTATGGAAATGAATAATTGAAGAGAAATTTTTTGCGAGTTTTGATTCAAATAAAAAAAATAGCAAAAAGAAAAAATGGAAAAAAAAAACGAGCGAAATAAATTCTCGTGACATGCTTCGTAGACAATTTCTTCCATTCGAGTCTGACTTTTTCGATACTTACCATCCTTACACGAATGTACACACAAACGAGCGATCGTATATGGTCATAGTGCGCGCGAGCGCAATTACATACGGCACGGCACATAGACGCGACACACGCGCATGCATACACGCCAGTCATACGAACGAAACCCACACCCACTTGTATTGCTAGCTAGGACGCAACACGTTCTGGGATCACTAGTCCGTTAAGATACGTACACGTCGAGATGCATATACACGCGTACGAGTACGAAAGCAGCACGCGTTTATCTAAGGTAAAAGTCTCGGCGTTGAAGTTGAGGTGCTTGACGAGGACAGCGGTGGAAGCGGCGGTGGCGGTGACGGCGGCGGTGGTAGCAGCACCAGCGACAGTAGCAGCACCAGCGATTCAAGCTTCGTCTGCCACATGCAACGAGTCTCCGATCCGAAATCGGTGGCGAATACGGAAAGTACACTCGAAAAACGGTGATGATCGGATACTTCGGACGTCACACATCGGTGATTGCGTTTAAAGTTGTGAATGCGCGCGATAGCTCGCTATTTTTCTTTCTCTTCGCTTCCCATTTCTTCTTTTCTTTTCTTTTTTCCCTTGCCTTCCCTTTTTGTCCCTTCCCTTCTCTTCTCAACCCTTTTCTTCTCTTCTCTTTGCGACTATTCTATTCTTTCCTCTCTACACGACGTTCCCTCTCGTTTACTCTTTCTATTATACTGTCTTTCCTATCTATCTCTCACTCTTTCACTCTCTATCCCACTCGTGTGCACGTATACTCTTTCACTCTAGTGCCTGTTCTCTCTCTCTATTTCAATCGCTCCTTCTCTGTCGCTCTCTTTGGATGTCCGTCAGTAACCTAGAAAGCGGTAGCGGCGGCCATTCAGGATTACGGGACTCCGTCCGTACGTCCGCCTTGTCCGAGCGATCGAGTAAGAGGATACGTTACCGACATATAACCTATGTTCCGTTTCTATCACGAAATCCTAATATTTTAGTCCCGTTTTAACTGTTTGGAGCAAGCCGATGAATCTGATAATTTTCACGCCGCGAACGCGCATACGCACATATTTCGAGATTCGACGACGCGACGATATTGCTTTATTAACGACAAGATGATAAAACGCAATCCGAATGGTATTAATCGATCTTAAAATTCTAAAAACTGTCCACAGAAATGACACTGTACTCCTTGAATGCAAGCACTACTCACTAGCCGCGATCTTCGTTGAGAGAACGCACCTTCGCCACGACAGATCGGCAAGAGCACTACGAAGCTATGGGTGTGCTTCTTTTGCTAGTGTTCTCACGTTTCGATCGACGCGATAAAAACCAAAACCGAATGATCCTTTAATTGAACGGCTTCAATACAAGAGATATTTACCCATTTGTGACAGATTTTCCGTACGAGACGCACCACATTAACGACCGTCCCCCACCTATTACCACATACAGACATTACCACACTTTGATTTTTCAAGATGGCGACGTACCGTCGTCGGGTCGAAACACGATGCGGATGGACTCTAAAGTTGCAGCGCTGCGATCGCGTTAATCACCGACGCTTCGCGACAACGAACGATACGTTTACCCGCGAACTTTTGAATCACTTATACTTATAATCTTTGAAATACCGGATAACCGATTTTCCAACACGTTTGAATAGAGGAGATGTCTAGGAAAAATATATTACTTTGATATTTTTCTATGAATATTATTCGATGTGTATACTGATACAGTTTCACTCTGTTTGTTTCGAGTTTAGTCTCAAAACATGGGATACTTCTGTTAGAGAGTAATCTAATCAATAGCAAAATATTTTTGTAACAATTCTTCGTATATATCTTTGTCGGTTTTCAAAAATAGGCAAAAAATTATTCTATCCACCTGTAATTTGAAAGATATATCAATATCTTAATGTATCAATGCATATACTTTATTAATATAGAATCTTACAGCGTTTTTGTTCTCTATTAGGAACTTCTTGACTGTCAATAAAGCCACTTTAGCTGCTGGTCTTTGTGGATATCCATAAATTCCTGTTGATATACAAGGGAAAGCAATTGTGCGCAATTGATTTTCTCTAGCAACGATTAAACTGTTTTCATAACATTCCTTTAATTTTTCTGGTTTTTCCCCTTGTGGACCAACAGTATGAATCACATCTAAAATATTATACTTACATAACTAGTATTCTCTTTACTATATTAAAATATACTAACACTTTGCTGGCAACATATAACCACCGGTTATTTTAGCTTCACCGACATGACATCCACCTAAAGTAGCACATTCTTTTTTCAAATTAGGTCCAGCAGCTTTGTGTATAGCTCCATCAACTATAGAATGATTAAATATTTTTTTTACATGTTGCTCATATCTTTATTTTTAATTGTACAATTACAATTTTTAATTGTAAAAAACATTTTAATATACCTCCACCGCCGCCAAGAAGAGTCGAGTTTGCTGCATTGACGATCGCATCTATTTCAAGAGATGTGATATCTCCTTGCCATATCGAAATTTTATTAGCCATTTCTTCGTTGATCTTTTCAATTTTTTCGAGATCGGTCAAATTTATATTTGCTTTATTTTTATTCCAGTATTGGAACCATGTTGGTATTTCGTCTATCGTATTTATAATTCCCTTATAGTATTTCCTTTTTTCTTCTGGCGGCATGTTCAAGAATTTCTCTGTTTAACACAGATAATAATAATCAACGATGTTTTATGGCATTTTCCTTTTTATATATATTGTTTCATTATTTAATATAATATATATATAATATTTTGAGATGACGTAACTTATATTCAATTGCAATAAACAATCAAAACGATCAACATTTACATAACTACCAAAATAAACAAAATGATCGTATGTCTTACGTTTTTCAATTTCGAACGACATTTTTGATTGAGGTTTAACAAATGTAACAAAATTCTTTCCAATCAAGAAATTCTGAATGGTCGATCGAACTACGGCGATAACTGCAAAACGATCGGCGATGTTCGCCTGTAAATCAGAAATAATTTTCTTCTCACTACGCAATTCACTTAGCCCTTGATATTCCTTCGACCCTTACTCTGAGAGTCAACATAGTCCCCCACTCGAAAAATGCGTTAATGATTTTTTTCAACCATGAATTTGTACCTCCACAAATGAAGAATTCAGTTAAAATTTGAATTTTTTCACCTTTAAAAGGAACTCGAGCTTACTCACAGTGAAAACTATCTTGTTTTGCTCCTATCTCTGAGTTGAGATCGTGACCGATGGAAACATAGAAACGAATCGTTGTTGTTGCATTGAAACATGCATATAGACATCTGGTGGAGGATAATGCAAACAGATAAGTATTTTCGCGATGTAAATACGCCATCTGTTTCGATAATCGAATACTGTATTTAAATTTAAGTAAATAAATATGCAAAATTTAACTTTTGACATTTTGGCTTTATTCAATAAATTTTTTCTTAGTAGAATCTCTCAACTTCTAACATTACGTTATTTCAAATAAATATTACGAATATTATTAAAAAGTAATTAATAATAGAATAAAAAATAAATGAAAATGAAGAAAATGTGTAAATGATTCTAATAGATATAAGGGATATTTATGTTATGTGAAATGTCATGGCTTAGTTGAATATTACAAAAATAATAATGAAATATTGTTTATATATTAATGCGATTTTTTTTTTGAACAATAATATGGTTTATATGTATCAAATTAATCTAAATAAAATTGCTTTGTTATATGATTTTATTTTATTTAAGTAACATTTAAAAAAAAATTTTTATTAGAACGAAAAATAATTAATCACCAATATTTTTTTAGTTTCCATTATTCCATTAAAGTTAATTATAACTATTATAACTTTTCTTTCTTCTATATATTGCAAATAAAATGGAATATTTTACTTTTCTTTTTATATAAATATTATTTTTGATTTGATTTAACAACTTTAAACATAAATGCGATTCATTTTTACAATTACATTCAATATATAGATAAATATGGTATAGATCATAATCGAAAAGTTTATTTAAAACGCATAGTTGAATATAATAATGAACGTCGATATCGACGCCGATGTGAACTTTAACGCCAACGCCAACGTCGACGTCAACATCGACGCCGACGCTTAATATCTCCAACAACGCCACCGTGAAGAGAACCATTGAACGAATTTTATTCTTATGCTTTTCTACGTTTACATGTATAGAGAAAGGCTTCGCAGCGCATGCTGAAAGCTACAATTATCGATCCATTCGCGCCTGAGCTTTCGCATTCAGTTCACAAGCTTTACGTACGTTGTTCAAGTGAAATCGTCTTGCGTGCTATATAATCAGACTAAATCAAGTATTTATTTAATATTTATTACCGAATTTGTTGGCTATAAAGGATGCCACGCCGTATGGATAACACTAAAACAATATTTATATTCTGTGAGTTTTCTCAATTAGCTTGCTGTTAATATTGTTAATTCGCAACGAGATAGTAGTGTATTTAATTTCTGCAATGAAGAATTTTGAAGATTAAAGCAACTCGATTATTTTTACATAGTTTTGAATTTTGTTTTATGTTATAAAACGATACTGGACTTTTAGTTGAACAACGAAGTTTGAACTATATTTCAAACCTATTAATTAAATTTGGCTAAAATTTTTTCGATTTAGAATTTCTTCGATTACAATTGTATCATCGTTTTTATTGTCATGATATCATCATACCAATTAATACTAATTTTTATATTAAGATAATTAAATTGCATCATTATTTTGAATAAATATAAAAGACATGATGAAAGAATTTATAACATTTTATAATATTATTATTAAATCATTTAACCAATAGAATATGTCGTATAATTTCTATGAGATATTTTTTTCTAAAGTTAATCATCTCGACCTTTTATCAGAGAAGTGAAAAACTCTTAATGGAAAAGTTATCGACGCGCACACTCTTTTGATGAATAGTTATTACAAAAAATGATCAAGAAACTTACCTCATTTTCTAATAAACGATATTTTTCTTCAGGGTGTGTCTTGAATACGGCGTTCAGCGTGCCTAATTCGTCGATACCACAAAAATTAGATGATATACCATATACGACATATGAACCAAATACGACATATCAACCATATACGACATATCAACCATATACGACATATCAACCATATACGACACGTCGAATGCCAAAAGTATTCATCGATTTGCCTGTATCCAAAACCAAACAATCTTTGGTAAGAATATCATCTTGAAACGTGAACGATTCTTAATTTTATTAATGATATAATAAAACTTGTTTCTTTTATAATATTTTGATAAATGCATATTTCGATATAATGATGAATGCGTGTATTTAGTTTCAGCGATTCCTTTAAATTGATACGTATGTCTGAATAATTATTTAAATGAATCCTTAATACTAATTGCTTTGTCGTGGAAACGTAATAATCGGATTTATCGTTGAACAAAATTATATCTCGAAAAATTGATCTAAACTCCTTTTAGCACTCCTTGAGATTATAGTAATATATTATATATATGAATATAATTGCATTTTTTAAAATTTATTCGCACTTATTTTTTTGGTCGAAAAGTATTGATTAGATGTAGATGCAAGTATTCAATCTGATAACTTTCTCTTGTTATATCTTTTAGATTTCATTTCGTTTCCACAAAACTGTATATGCTATATATTTTATATATTCTAATCGTAACAATATATATGTTTTATACATTAAAAAATATATGATAATGTTTATATATATGATATGATAATGCTTTTGAATAACGAAACACAAATTTTTATTAAAATGAAAGGAAACTTAATCGTTCATATTTATCGAAAGAATGTAAATTTAATTAGAATAAATTACATTTATTACATTTCAAACAATGACTTTAAAATTGATTTATTTTAAAGTTGGCGGTAAATTTCGAACTGAAGAGTACTACAACGATGTCTTTGGAATCAACGACACATAGGTCATTTTCCACGGAACAACCTTTGTATCGTTTGGATCGCAGTAATGGACAAGCTTGCATTCTCTTACAAGTAGATGCTCTGATTACGGTGAAATATCGAACAAAATTCGGAGATGATGAAGTAAGATTTTATTGTATTTGAATAACACATAATAGTATATATAAATAAATATAAAAATGAGAAAACTATGTAATGTTATTTTTTTTAGGAAGTGAGCATTTATGTTCCAAATGATGCCACTGTGACAGGCAATTGTGATAACGAAAATACAGTGACGATGTCACTTAAATGGAAAGCATTCTTATTATCATGGAGTTTCGCAAAGGTAATTTCAAAGAATTTAAATTTTTTTTTATTGAAGTTTCATAAAGTTTCATAAAGTAATTATTATTTTTAAGATTGAATTTATATTATTTTTAAGTTTGTTCAATTATTTCGAATCACATCGAATAATTTTTCTTTGTTAAATTTTTTAAATTATTTGAATTAGAAATATATTATTTAAGAAGAATTCTTGAAATGATGAATTGATAAAAATAATTTGCGTGGACACGCAACTATAATAATTTTCTTTCCTTGGCATATGCTATTAGCTAAACAGTTCATTCATAGAAACGACTCAGGTCACGAATATTACGTTATTTTAAAAGCTCTCTCTCTCTCTCTCTCTCTCTCTCTTTGTTTCTTTCGTATAAATCGATACTGACAAGCCCTTTTTTTCCTTCCGTTTATTTATGGATATATAGATATTTCACTTTCTTCATGCGCGACAATTTTCTATCCTCTTCTAAATCGATCAGTATCATTGATTGAAATTGTTTTAATCTTTGAATTATCCTTTGAATTAATCAATTTGGAAATAATTGTGAATTAATAAAAGGAAAATATTTTTTAGACACCTGGTGGCGAACGATGGTACGTTGAGAAAATCGAACTTACATATAACTCGAGTGATCGGCATTTCGAACATATCGATCAACCAAGTAAGTCGAACTGAATAGTGGTCTCATCGCGCGGAATATTCTTCTCGCTAATGTTATAATTTTAATCTGTTTTTGTACAAGATAAGACAATAAGGTTGAGCACTGGACAAAAGCATAGCTCCATGTTGTTCCCGACACCAGTTGGAAAATCGTACGCTTGCAGTGGTGAGACAGAAATTCCATTGACCGATGGGAAAAATCACGCCAAATTGCTCCTCAGGTATAAATTCGATTAATTTCTCATCGATAATATTAATTAAGGAAATGTATTAATGTATGTATATATAGAATTATATAAAAATTAAGCTTCCGATAATTGATATTCACGGATGAATTCGTTTGAAATTTCAGAGATATGAAACTGCAACCGTTTAAATTCAAGAATAACGAATTTGCAGCGGAATTCTCGTGTACATCATTAAGCGCACGAGGATTTAGGGACGAAACCGCGCCTGTTGCGGTTGGCTCGACCTTGGCTGCTGCCGTTCTACTTACTATTGCCGGTTACGCGGCCTATCGTTATTTCAAAGTGAAGAAAGTCAAATATGATACTATGGAATAAGGGCTCTTTGGAAACGCTGCCTAAGACGATGTAATTTAAAAGACGACCAATCTTTTCTACGAGATCCTTTTCTCTAGTTGCGTAGTCGTCGTCGTCGTCGTCGTTATACAACGGTATTTTGCTCGACTGATCGACAACGTCATCGGTATAAGCGTTCATTCTTGAATTTCATAGAATGTTGGCGTTTATTAGTTTACTCGCGTCGAGTTATCCGACTGAAACAAGGAACAAGAAGATTAGGCAACAATAGAAAAAAAAAAAAACTTTTATCTAAGAAATATCGTTTCCTTCTAATTATTACCCGATTCTCTAACAATCGTAAAATTTTATCGAATTGTTTGGTTCGAAGCTAATATTGATCGTAAAACAAAGCGTAGGCGTATCGTGTCAAATAGAATTTCCTCGGTTTGTATTTTTAGATTGGTATTAAATTCTTCTTTGAAAAATTTTCTGATTCTTGCAAAAGAATCGATTAAAATGCATTAAAAACGATTGTATAACAACTATATCGCGTATTTCGAATAAATATTGCAAAATACGTGTTAAATTCGTATTTGCAAGCTCTGATGGTTGTATCGATAAATATCGAATACTAATCCACTATTACTATAGATATAACTATATAATTTAACATTATTTAAGAGAACAACTCAGAGGATAAAGCTTTATATGACAGCTTGCTTCCCGACAAGGTTTGCGTTTGTCGTATTTTGCAATGTGAAAAACATTGTTTTAGCATAGTTATATAAGTCGAAAGAAATTAATCCTATCTACGTTATGATATATATTCAAATTGGTGCAATTTTCGATAATTTGCTTAATCTTGATATACATATATCTCGTTTCCATTATAATTGTAAAATTATACCAAACCTTCGACGATATCTTTGGAAGCTTAAGAAAAGCAAGCCCTAATTGGCAGCTGATAATGAGATTCGTTAAAGAAACGAATAGATGTGCGTGGTTTTCATCACAGAAACACCCCATCTTTTGACATCGGTCACGTGGTTCTAGTTTAAGATTTGATAATTTATTCTGATTTTAAATGTATATAGTATCTACATGTACGACGTTACCGTAAACGTCTAAAATTGCAAATAAGAAGACTCAAATATTATATTTACTTTTACATTTACGATTGAATTAATTATAAATGCTATCGATTAGAAAATTGTTTTCACTGTTTTACTTCAAGCGAACGAGGTAAAACAAAAAATTGATATAATTTATAAATCATGATTCGAGGTCTCGTACCTGCATTTTACATGCATAGAATTATCGCTAGAATAGGTCATTTCATTTATTATCTTCTAATTCTCGATGTAACATATCATGTAAATATTTTAGGACGCGGTCGATAAAGCTTGTCATAAAAAGTACTTCGTTTCTTAGAAGAAAAAGAATGTTTTTCTTTTTTTTTTTTTTGTTTTCAAATATCCATTGTTTATTATCCTACTCGTTTTCTGTTTTCTTTTCTTTTCTTTTACTTTTTTTTTTTTTTTCGTTCTTGAAACGAAATCATTCCTCGATTAACACGAGCTTTCACGACCGTGTCGTATTTTTAAATATATACCTTTAAAATATTGCGAATTCGTTACTCTCTAGTCAATGGATAGTCCATTGTCGTGAACATATCTTGACGCGTAAACTTATTATCCCCGAGATGATCGAGCAAAAAAATCGAAGATTTATTGCCTCTTTGGAATGGAATGGAAATAAGAGAAAATCTTATTCGATCTTCGATTATATACTATTGTAAAAGTTTCGAAGATACGAAAGGAAAAGCGTACATCTAAAGAGGCAACAGGAAGAAAATATATCGAATCGAACGGTCGGTTGACGAATGATGACGTATTAAACGTAATCTGCACGCGAGCGTATATGTTTACGCGTGTTCGGCAGGAATAAACTTACAATTAGAGATATGTGCGTAACACGAACCTCTGTCTTCCAAACGTGTATTAAAGTTGAACTTTCGTGTGTATTATGTATACGTATATGTATACATATTTAACTACGTGTACATTTATACAAGACACATGTATTGCACATATGCGTATATTTATGAATATGTATACACTCATATGCTATGTACACAAACCATGACACACACATACACACACACACACATATACACATACACATACACATATATATACACAATATTTAATATATTTGGAGAACGAGAGAGAGAGAGTGGGGAAAAGAGAGAAAGAGAGAGAAAGAAAGAATGATATTATGGATATCGTATGTCTCACTTCCGTAACAAAATCGACATGATCGCACTTGATTCACGATGTTACGTCGGCAGAATAAAGGAATGTGTGTTTCTTTTTTCGCGCGGTTCGAATAATTCGGAAGACGTGAATCTAGCAAATCTAGTATACTCTTTACAGAGTGATGTGATGTTCACGTTTGAATTTTTTGAAGATACTACAATAAACTAATTTAGGATCCGTCGGTATGCAAAACTATGGTTTAGATGTAATTATAAAAATGTATTTTTGTGCTAAAGTAAATCTTATTATAAATATTATTCATAGCTATAGCTCGATTGATCGAAGATAACACGATGTGACTTTCAATGTTTCCCGTTACAAGGCGTTATGACAGCGAAGTGTTGCCAGCTAAAAGTGAAATGCGAACGAGAGTAAAAAGATTTATACAAAGAAAAGAGATCGTGGGAGGTGGGAGATATAATGAGAATATACGATGATAAAAGTGCGAAGCCGCGACAGCTTTGAGAATTGAACATCAATAAATAAATAATGAGGATAACATCACGAGAATCATATAGTTCGACCTATTTCTGCAATTTTGAATCTGATAAGAATCAACGTGACGCGAGATATAATTCACAAAGACGAAATACATATGTACTTATATCGATAAAGCGTGTTGAATAAAATTGTATCATATCGATAAAATAAAGGCTGTTATACAAGTTTGTTTGTGATCGATTAATCCCTTAATTAATCCCTAATTATTTTGTTTTTGAATATATCATGACACACAATAATTACAGAATAGATATAACGGATATATTCGCATTAGAAAAATTCTTATTTATATAATCAATGTATATATCAAGTTAATATAACAAGGAATATAATCTAATAAGAAAAAAAGATAATATAAAATAATATAATACAATAAAAAAATAGAAAGTTAATGTAATAACTTAATAACGTTAATAACGAAAACAAAAATGTAATAAATATATAATATGGATTCGTGAGAAAGCCATGATGATTGCTAAAATAAGTTAATATAATTATATTATATCCATATATCCAACTTTATATTATTTGAACTAATATAAAATAATTTAAAATTATTATACAGTTTACAGTTTTAGTATATATTTTTCATATTTTTGGAAATATTAAAAATTTAGTATTAACAATTTTATTTTTATATAATATTCTCTTATAAGCTCGAATAAATTTAATTTATCGTACATTCAACAATATTTAATACAATATTTGTATTAAGATGCTACAAAAAATATTTTTTTTACATCTTTATTAAATCCATTTAATACGAAGAATCAAAAATATTTCGTTTTGTTTTAAATCTAACTATTATATTTAATCGACATCGATTTATAAATTCATGCTAAAATATAATATTTTGTGGACATAGAATAATCATTCGTTCTTATGATACATAAATGTATCATAAAGAGTCGAAATATTTAAAATTTTTTTATCTCGAAAATTTTCTCATTGGCTAATATAATAAATATGATAAAACGAAAATCTGTATCATTTGTAATGAATCGTAATCGAAAATTGCGTAAGATATCTCTCTTCGATACGATCGGGCGAATCATAAATATATCTGTTAGACATAATTTGTACGTACATAAGTACTTACATACACATATATGATATAGATACGTATTTACATACATATTACATACATATATTACATACATATTGTAGGTAGGTGTAATAGCAGATGCGTGTTTGGAAAAGAGAGAGGGGATAGTGCGACATAATAATTTCAGGTGGTGGCCTGTGGAAAAGGGCGTGAAAAGTACAGTCAAGCAGGCTTATGGCCGATGCCGCGTGGAGCGCGGAATCCCCCAGGGTTTACGCAACCCGGCGTTATTCATTGTCGCAATGTCTATTGAAATCTCCGCGACAATGGGTGGAGCAGGCCGATCGCATTGTCGTTCGCGTGCATCCGTGTCCCTCTACTGGTTGGCCGGCTAGACAGTCCAATCTTTCGAAAAGATCGTCGGTAACCGAGGATTACCTACGCCTCTTAATCTCGAATCTTCGAATGTCTTCCGTATAAAAGTATTCCCTGAGAGAGATAATGCAACAACGTGTATAATATCAATGACGCGAGATATTACCGATTACAATACAAAATGGATGGTTGGAGAAATAATTGTGCGTAATTGGCTACGTTTGATGACAGATGGGATCCTGGCGGGGGTTCGAGATACGAACGGAATGAAGAAAGAGGAAAAAAGATAGGAATAGATATAGAGATGGAGAGGGGATAGGGAAGGGGACGGGGATGGTCTATAATTTATAAACTAGGGGCTGTTTTGGGGTAATTGCAGATAACGATGGGGCGGTCCGGATAACAAGCCGACATGGGAGTCACTGGACACCCTGCCACTCCAGCATCCACCGGTAACACCATAACCTTCGTTATACATATACGGCTATTCTCTTGTACTCTATATCGTTCGCATCGCTGTCCAACCATAAGTTACGTCATGCGTGATACCGCTCTACGAGGGTTCTCTTAATAAATCGTGGCTTCTCTACTTCTATTTAATGAGATTACGTTCATTTTCGTCGCGATTGAAATCAAAGAAAATGTAATATAAGAAGAGAAAAAAGGATAGCCACGATCAAACATTTTCACTGTGATCATTTAGAAAATTTATGTAATCGATCGAAAGTAAATCGTATTTTAAAGCGTTCTTCACATTTATTGATGCGTAATACGTATTAGTCGACTGTTGCCTCTCCCAGCTAAGGATCCATTTAGTTCGCATAAAAGCTGCTTACCTGGCCTCCCTATTTCGTGGTTTCGTGGTAGAAAACCACGATTGCAATCACGACGATCTAGTGGATTTTGAGCGTTTATACGTTTTTACGTGAATGGCGGTACGATGGAAATTTATGTAAATTCGAGAAACGGACGACGGATCAAACTCTGATTTAATTCGTTATGCGAAATATGCGATCCATTTCTCGGACTAACGTATGACGGGAATGTGGAATAGGAAAACTGGGCAGACTTAGGATTCGTTGCGTTGTAAGAAGAATGATCACGATATAATCAAATGATAACTTTGGAGCGAGCAGCTTGTCCGAGATTGGCTCGCATTTTAATCGGTAGTATACATATATATACGTGGACGGAGGGGAGGCGCTTCCTGGAGGCGCTATAAATACAACTCTCGGAGGTATGACGCGATAATTACTCAATTCCCACAGCGTAGCGAGTAGCTTGGTCAACTATATAGAAGATGATAAACCGATAAAGAAATGGCGCGGCCTTGAGATGTCTGCGCGGTCAGCGTTAAGAATTATCGTAACGTAGCGTTATGTTTTCTTCTCTAACACTTCATCTTCTCCAAATAGTATAGCGTATTACTTTCACGAGATAAAAACTCCATTGCGTTTTACACCGTCCTCTACGAAGAAATTAAATTTTCTTATCGTATAATAATGTCAAATCGCATATTGATATTGCTTGAAAAAAAAAAAAAAAATCGAAGATTTATGAGTATCATGCACAAACTGTAAACACGAAACTTCTCTAGGCGTAACCTCTAATTAAATAAATCTTGATTGCGTTATGGACGATTTCATCGATTGTAAGCTAATCCCTGACGAGAAAAAGGGTGACAATGATACACGTACGCAAAAAGGAAAAATGTCCTGGAGGGTTACCTATTACATTGCACATAACGTGTCTATCTATAGAGTGTTAATATATGGAATATTTGAAGAGTTTATATTAGAAATCGAATTTACATTGTTAAGCAATTAAGTTGTAAGTTCGCGTTAGATGAAATGAGATGGAGACACAATTTTATCTCTGTCGTTGCTTTCTAACGCAAATTGAATTGCTTATATGATTTAATAAATAAGTCTTGACCGATATTTTTATACAAAAACAAAATTTTGCGTTTATACAGTGGTTTTTTATTATTGCGAATTAACCAAAGATGTTTAAAAAATATATTAACACTCTGTACAATCAAGATGAATTGAATAATATGAAGTCAACGATACTATTGGATGGATGATTCGTTCGTTTCAAATTTTCTATTTCGTCAATTTTATTGATCGAGATCGATGATTTTTTTTTTCTTTCTTTCTTTTAAATTAATTAGTAAGTAAGTAGTAAATTGTAACGTGCAATGTAATTTCTGATACACATTAAGAAATTGTCAAACTGATTATTAATGTATTTGTTACACCATTTGCTATGAGAGAAAGTTTATCGGATTGAAAAATGAACACAGAGATGGGTAGAGGGGTAAAAGAAAGAGAGAAAATGAGAGAGGGGAAAGGTTAGAGAAAAAGACGGGAACGTGGCGTGAATGGAGGGAGTTCATAATAACATCGAAGGGCCAACAGGGTTTTCTGTATTCAGATGCTCTTTTCAAGAGTGAGAACCCTCCTCGACGCGCATTCAAGTGTCGCCGCTTTGTAATACCTCTTAATACCGCTCGCTGTCGTTATTAAGGATCCGGAACATATTGTCGACATAACAGTGGCAAATACCTCTATGGCGTCAAGCCTTTATTGTTGATGCGAGTGCGGGCACGGGCGCGTTGCCCACGACAGGAAGCGGAATGAGATGGGAATTTTTTCGAAAAAATTTCGAATCGTCCGAATCTGGTATTCGAACATAGTGAGTATCGTCGAGATTTCACAAACATCTGTCATTTATTTGTTAAATAGAACGAATTTAATTAATTTTCCTTTCTAAAAGTTTTTACTACGAATTTTAATATATATATATATGTATATATATACACGTATAAAAATAGAAAAATAAAAAGAAACAAGTGTGAGAACGAGTTTGTAGGTCTTGGCAGATTTATGCCACTATGCAAAAGTCGTACTTTACCTGCAGATAAATCGTGCGAGTCAGCGAAAGACGATTCTAGCGAGAGACCTGCGTCCACCATTTTTTCCCACAAAACTCACCTGACACAAACCTCGCAGATAAGAGGAGGTCGAATGTGCGAGGTAGCGCATATTAGGAACGGTTTCTTCGATCAAGTAACGTGCCAACGTCAAGTCAAAATACCAAATATGCGTTTAAGTATTATACAAAGATAAATCGAACAGAACGAACGTTTTTTCTGCATTTTTAACTCGTCTATATTGATATATGACGCGACGAATGATATAATACGATTGAAATGAAAAAAAGGAAGAATCTTTTTCTTTTTAACAAAGTTTTTTTTATTTATAGAAAAGTAGGGCGCGATTGATCAAAAGTAGCGCGAAAAAAGCTGAAACGCAAAAGAGATAACACGATTTTTTGGAGCGTTCTTTGAACGATGTTTCTTTAGAAGTCCTTTTAATCCCACCCGGACCGATCATTCTGTGTTATAAGCCTCGCGCAATGTGTTTAGCCGATGCCCGTTACAATAGGGACGATGACAGTCCACCGTTTCGACTACCCTCAAATCACTGAGCGCGCCTAACTAACCGTGTAATCGGCAATTTTAGCCTATTAGGACATCCTACGTATTTCGCTACGTATTTCCCTCCGTAAATTACATTGGATGCGATTTCATATCTCTATCTGTTAACAAATAGCAATTAACAGATCTTGGCGCGTATCGCGGGTCTCCTCTAAAATCGAATCTTTTATCGGATAAACAATTAAAGAAGATTAAACTGTTCGTGGTATCGAAGTAGAAATTCAATCGGATCAAACATCTGCTTTCATTTTCAGAGAAGTTGAACACGATATCGAAGTTGTAAAAAAGATAGACACGACGAAGAAGAAGACGAAGTTCGATTTTGTTCCGTTGTCGAATCTGGAACGCGAACCTACTGACACGGAACCACGGCATAAAGTGGCCAGTGACACATAAAGGGCATATTTTCTAGCATTAGAAAGGTCTCGGCTACCTGTGTTCACGCCTGTTCGCGTTTTCCGTCCGTCCAAAGAATCTCCTACACCGATCTCTCTACCCCGAGCCGTTAATGGGAAAATAACCGACGGATTACGTCGCTTAATCCTCTCGCTAACACGATATTTCATTGTCCCGCGAAACGAGAAATAATCTCGCGTTTTTCTCTTTTTCTCTTTCCGTTGCTCCCGAATCTCTGTGATCTGTTAGACCGATCGTGGAAACGTTTCGTTTCGAAATTGATGAAAAATATTCAACGAGATGAGAGACGAAGTGAAGGCGAAGGAACGAGAAACGAATTAAAGAGAAAATTTAGAATAAATCGAGCTAGCTCACCTGCTCGTACCGAGAACGTACGAATAGTTTCTAAAAATAAATTCGGTCGACCGATCGTCGACGATTCTAGTCGTCTCGCGTATATGTAATGCACGAGCGCGCAAAGATAGTCGCTATCTCGACGAGCCGGTGTCCGATGTCGGCCACCAACGCGACCGCCGCGTCGTGTCGGAACTTTCGATCCCCGCGTGCCGAACGCACCGCTTATTGTTCGCCGATATTAATTTTAGAGATATATAAACGTACCTATCCACACTATCCACTAGCGAGCTACGTGTTTGCATAGAAGAAATACGAGGTGCGTCAAAGGCGTTCTTTCGTTTATCGTTGGATCGGGCACTATTTTATTGCGAAATTTGAACCGCGGTTCGGTTTCGATCATCAACGACACACAACGGCAATTAATGATTTTTAAATATTACGTTTCGATAAAAGTTCCCTCCCTTTTGGGCACGTCTCTTCTTCCATCCAGAGTTAAGCACGCGCCACTTATGAAAGTGTTGTCGCAAAGCCCCTCTGTGCGCTTTGTTCCTGTAGCCTTGTTTTAGGTGAAACCGTAGATACTTGACGTCGTCGTCCACGTCTCGTTCTCGTCATGGACAAAACGATCGTAAACGCGGAGTTCAAATCTACGAGAGAGATAGTCCGGTTTAATTTATCCGGATTTACACCGGTGAAGATGCCAACGGCTCGCTTTCCGTCGCGTTTCAAGGGGCTGAACGAGGACAAATGGAGGATCGTCGCGAGTCGATTTTGCACAGAGCCATTTTGGAATGCAATTAAACGCGGTACAACGAAATACGATGCTGGTGCTGCTACCGTTGACGGTGCTCCGCTTCGTTCCGTTACGTTCCGCTTTGCTTCGCTTCTCCCTTCGTTTTCTCCCTTCTCCTCCACTTCTCATCGTTTGCCCCCGATTGTCGTCTCCTACTCATCGAACGCTAGGAACACCTCTGTTTATCCAGGTATGAATTTCTTCGGCCCAATTATTTTATTCTTTTTTTCCTCTCAATTCGCCAGATTTATTCATTAGACGAGAGCTTTCGAAATATTATCCAATTCCAGTTCGAGGATGAAACGAACGAACGAGCCACTCAATAATTCGTGATCGAGCAAAAGAAAGAAGGAAAAAAATTGAATAACCTTCGACCGAATGTGCAACTACGATTTTAGGAATCATTTCGAAAAGAAAGCATTCCCCTGCCCTACGAAAACTGCACCAAAGGATACAAAGAAGATACTCGGAGGATAAAGGTGAGAGAGGAAGAGAAAGAAGAAAAGAGAGAGAAAAGAGAGAGAGAGACAGAGGGGGAGGGGGAGAGCGAGCGAGCGAGCGAGCCAGAGAAAGAGAGAGAGAGAGAGAAAGAGATAGAGAGGGGTGGGAAAATGGCGGCTCGGAGGACATCCGACACCAAATCGAAGGAGACGCCATCGCAAAGCGCGGCACCGCCCCTCTATCATCGGTTCTTGCCTCACCGAGTGTCATCGGTCCGTCTAACGCGCGCTATCCGAATTGAAACGAGTTTTCCCACGAAAGGCGAAAGAAAAGTCGGCGCGACTCGACGCGTTTGGGAGAATTCTTTCTTTTATGCCGAGATTATCCGCATCGCCGTGATCCAAGTCGATCCGGGTCTGGTTGTAGCTTTTTTCGTTTGGTTTTCGTTTTCGGTCGTTCGACTTCGGATCCCTCGATGGAAACTCGTCAAAGTCGCGCGGCTGCAATCCATCTTGGCGTCTGTGATCGGCAATTAGTCGGAAAAGGCGGAGCGAATTCAAAGGATTGGCAAGGCGTGGCTGGCATCGAGATTTTCGTGGCTGTTAAAAGACACGTTCGTTTGTCTCCGACAGAGGATCGGCTCTCATTGATCTACGTAACGCCGGTGGTCTGTCAAGCTATTTCCATCCGACTTCCTGCCGACGGACAAGACAAGATCCTGTCAGCCCGTTCTCTCCTGCCAGTCTCTCTGTGTCTCCCTTCCTGTCTCTCTCTATTACTTGTCCTATCCTATCCATGGATCTTTTCTCGTCCATAATCTTTAATCGGACATAATCGCGAATCGTTTGTTCGAAAAAAGAAAACGATGAATCGCGGATTGATATTCGCAGATAGATTTTCATTGGTAAAATTACGCATGTTCCAAACGGAAAGAGAAGGAAGCATGGTTGTCGTAAGTAAAACTCGCGATAAATAAAAAGATGGACGAGAGGGGGAGAATCGTTGCAGGTGTTGTGAAATTAATCGAACGCGAGGCGTGATAGCACCACGTAGAATCACAACATGGTGTACGGTAACGTTGTCGCGTTCCGTTTCCGGTGTTTGTTGCTTCGCTCCTATACTCTCAGACGTGGGCCGCCAACTCATTCAATCGTACGTGCTCGCGTATTTGTCCGCGACTTTCCACGATTTTGGCATATTTTTCTTTTTCTTCTCTCTCTCTCTCTCTCTCTCTCTCTCTCTCTCGAGACGAACGAAGGTTGAACGAAGGTTGGACGAAGGTTGGAAGAATGGCGAGATCGTTATGAAAGCATAATATGAAATTATTATGGAATTTTGAAAATCGGGGGACAGGTCGGAACGATCGTTCTTAGGTGAGGAAAGACCGGCAAGAGGAAGCCGGTGGGTCTCCGTGGACACCGAATGGGGTGGCTTTGGACGGGGGGTAGAAGTTTGCACCGCCCCCGTGCCGCTCCAATGGGACGAGCTCGCGCGCTCCCCGTCGACCAATGGCGAGGAGCGAGCGCGTCGTATCGTGCCGTGTTGCGCTCCACTCCTCGGCGTACGAGCGCGTTACGAAAAACGAAAAAGAAGCTTGAGCGGAAGATGATGAGGGAGAGAGAAAGAGAGAGAGGGCACCCGCCGACAACCTCCTCCACCAACTGCATCGGCACCGACATCGGCGCGGAGTGATCGGCAGTGCCATTGGCACCACTACAATCGTCGTTCGCGTTACCACAGTAGCAGCAGAGCCGTGTTACCGCGCTCGACACGCGATCGACGCGATATTTTCTTCTATGATAAATCATTTCGCCCCGAAAAGATTTGCGTATCGGTTCGTTCCTGTGTGAGAAGAAGTGTGTTCCGAGAGGTGATAAAACGGTGTGTAGAATCGTTGTATCCGTATGTGATAAATGTCGCGGGGCTCGAGGGAAGCCGTTTCTTCTACGCTCGATGGAACTACGTTGCATAGGAGATTGATGTGCATCGGCGGTAAGGATTTATGAATGAAGATACCGAATGGCGGGGACGTGAATGAAACACGGTCGATCGAATAAGCGTCGATCGTTCGAGCAACGGATGCTTATTTTTCCGACAAGTTACATCAAACCGAAGGTACGCGTCGTACGACGTTCGAATCGCGTTTATTCCTCGGATCGATAACGCGAGTCCGCGATCGTGGTTGCAGGCGAAGCGCTCGGACGTCGCAACGGAGAAATGAGCCTCGTGTGACCGGCGAGAAGCTGAAAAAATAACGAGACAACGAGAATGCCCGATAGTTCGGATCAATTGTCGTCGCCGAACAGCGAATGCAATAGCCAGATAGGTGTTATGCACCGGAACACGTCCACCGGACAATTTGACGATTCGTCGATGCCCGGACTCGCGTTGACGCATCAGACGCATTCGCAAAATCTAACGTCCGCCTCGAACGGTGGTGGCAGTCTTCAGTATCCTCAAGAGTTGACCACTTGTAGTTCCGCGAATACGTCCACCAATATAGGAAACATCGGTGGACTTTCTCTGGGAATTACGGCCAGTAACTATACACCGGACCAGATATCTTGTATGTGCAAGGCGTTATCGCAGAGGCAGGATATCGAGAAGCTCACGAGGTAAAGATCGTTCCTTCCTTCTTCTTTGTTTTATTTTTTTTTCTTTCTTTCTTTCTTTTTCTACTTCGACCGACTCGTCCGAGGGTTCGCGAATGTCGACCATCGAAATCTCTTCTTATCGCCGGAGAGGACAAGGAATTGGCGTTTCACGTTCCTCCTTATCTCTTGACGAAGTAATTTCAATTGTTAAAATTTAACGATCCCGATCATCCTTCCTTTCTTCTTCTACTTTGCGTACCGTGTGATTCTCGATCTTAACGTTCCTCGATCGAATCGTGGAAGAAATAATCGTGGTATCTAAAAAGGAACGCACGTTTCGATGATAGGCTCCTATGGTCGTTGCCGCCTGGCGAGTTGTTCCGCCGCGACGAGAACGTGCTGATAGCAAGAGCCACGGTGGCTTTTCATCGGGGCGCTTACCACGAGCTCTACTCGATCTTGGAGAGCCATCCGTTCTCCTCGGATCGGCACCCGGAACTGCAACAGATGTGGTACAAGTCGCATTACCGCGAGGCGGAAAAGATCCGCGGACGTCCGCTTGGTCCGGTCGACAAATATCGGCTCAGGAAAAAGTATCCATTGCCAAAGACGATCTGGGACGGCGAGGAGGTGGTGTACTGCTTCAAGGAACGTTCGAGAAACGCGCTGAAACAATGCTACATGAGGACCAAGTATCCACTCTCCGAGGAGAAGAAGAATTTGGCGAAGGAGACCGGCTTGACCTTGACCCAGGTGGCTAATTGGTTCAAAAATCGACGGCAGAGGGATCGCACGCCGCAAACGAGAACGTAAGTTTTTTCGCGCGTCTTTCTTTCGCGCGTCTTAAAAATTCTCCACCTCCCCCCTCCTCCTTCCCCTCCCCCAAGAGGATGGGCTCCCGACCGAGACGCGAAACCATTCCGCGACCAACTTTCCTGCATGGAGGGCACGTGTGTCAACGGGGGGTCCTCGACTTTTCCACCGAGCAACAAGTGTTTCGACATGTGTACAGGGTCGTGCGTTTTTCTTCGAGGGGCACACGCTGACCGACCATTTCGAACACGGTAAATCATTCCTCGAACGAGCCCTGACCGAGATCATCGGGGTATGCGCGAGTTTCTTCTTTTCGAGGAAAGAACCACTATTATCCGAAACTGCTCTCTCTCTCTCTCTCTATTCTTCTTATTCTCGCAGTGTTTCGTTTATCCATCTTTTTCTAAAAAACACGCGCATCTATTTATATATATATATATATATATATATATATAAACGTTTATTAATTTTTCGTATACGTTTATTCGTATACGTTTATTTTGCTCGCTAAGCCTTATTATAAGCTTAAAGTTACTTATTATAAGCGAAAAATATAGAGTAAATATGGTGACGACTGTTCGATTTTCCACTGTTTCCTTTCAATGAAAATTCGTTCTCGGAAAATTTATACAGATTATCGCGCGGCCGTTCGTTCTGATCGCTGGAATTTCGTCGCTGCGTAGGCAAGTCGCGCGCGTGTAAAATGGATAAGCGAAATGGGAGAAAGAGAGACGTGTATGTTGTTATGGCTTCGATGTGGTCTCGGTCACGGTCTGCCTTGGCTCGGAGGTTTGCGACGATTTTGCTCGGCGCACTATGTATGTACGTATATGTATCGCGTTCCCTTTTCTTTTTTCGCTTCCTCGCAAGCGTTCGCTTTCCGCCGAAACTTGCGGATCGTTTCGGAAAAATTATTCGGCCGAGGTCGCGAAGCTTTCTCCTAGTTCCGCCCCTAACGTGTCCCACTCCCTCGGCGAAAACCTCTACGAAAAGGAAATGCGACGCCCTATTACCGTTTTATGACGCAGCTTCGGTTACGTCTCCCGTTTCACCATTGAGCTGTTCGCACTACCAATAGTTTACTACATAAAGGCCACGACCAACCCTCCACCGCTGCTTCCATCAACTTCGAGCGCGTTCTGCTTCGCAGACACTGCTTTTTTTCTGTCCCTCTGCGCTCGTCGGGCTTCGAATCAAAATGGAAACCACCTCGTGAATTCACGAGGTAGTCGCTCGAAAAAGGAATCGGGCCGAGTCGAGTTCTGGCTTCGAGAGTTTAGACCTTGGAGCGCGACCATAAAAATCCGCGCGGTCGTCAACGGAGAGGTATAGAAACGAAGTGGCAGAAACGAAGCGTAGTCGGGGGCGGAGCTGCTTGCATACGGACCACCGTGCGTGCACGTGCGTGTTGTGAACATTAACGTTAATACTAATGCTAACGCGAACACGTATATGTATAGGGAAAGATCAGGGTAGAGAAGTCGGAGGTCGGAGGAAACAGTTCGCGCGTGCAAATGGCTATGGAACAATGCGCCGCGAACGAGCTACCTTTTCTCCTTTTCTTATTCTCTCTCTCTCTCTCTCCCTCTCTGTCCTCCACCTTTTTCGAGCGTGTTGAAAAAATTCTTGGAACGAATGAGCCGCGTGCACGCGCGTCTATGCCTGTGAACCCTCAATCGCCCGATCCTTCCCGGGCCAAGGGTCACAGGTTTTTTCGGATTTCGGGTAAGACAATGAACGACCTCGCATGTGCTTCGCCTCCAACCTCTCTCTTTGAACCTTTCCTTCGATTTTTCATCCCTGTCGACTCTCTTTACGAGATTGACAGAGATTTATGGCGGTGTACGGTCAATTTCTCTCTTGGCGGCGTCTTTCTCCCATACGACGTATCGACGACCAATGCCACGCGTGTGCCTCGCACATCTCCCAAATAGAAAACTGATAATTTCCTTCTAATGTAATAATTCTGTAATCGCGAACACTCTCGATCGCTCCTTTACTTCATCTTCCTCGTTTCAGAGACATGCTACCGTTAAACTGCCAGAATAATGCGAGCAACGTGATCACCGGCTCGGTTACCAACGGAGAGAGCATTCAATCTTTGCAGAGCATCGATTCCAACGGCACGAATCTCGCGATGTCACCGCTCTCGACGATGAGCATGTCACCGGTCGCCGTGAATCCGTGTAGCCCGATGGGTATGAGCCCGATGGCTTCTCGCCATCCAAGATACGCGACACCCGTGGCCCCGTCCTCCGTGCACACCACGCATCCCCACAGCGGCAGTCTTAGCCCTATGAATGACGTTAAAGCCTTATGCTACGGCCGCGGGGTTTGCGAAACCGGTAAGTCATTTTTTATTTATCCCATTCTCTATTTACTTCTTCCCGTTGATCGCCTTCGTTTTAATCCAATCTTATTTCTTTCCAGGTAAAGACACCGATCAGACTTCCGTCTATTATTCTACTCATTCGAGCATGCATCATCAGTATTATCAACAGACGCATCATCAGATGATGTCCACTGCTCATCATTATCAACATCATCAACAGAGTATGCCAACCGGATATGAAATTGCGCTTCCGCCTCCTCAACACTCGACGTGACCAACCGATTACGAGACCGATAGAAATGATGCGGTTCATCCAGTTCAAACGGAAGATGTATTTTCGCGTGTTCATGCGTTCGCTTGACTTGCAGTATTCGACCGGTGTTGCGTCTCCGATCTAAACAATTTTTATCTTATCATTATCGATTCATTGTGTTTTTCACGCAACGTTCCTTTCTAATTTTTTTCCATATATATATATATATACGTATATATATTTTATATATATATATATTTATATATATATACATTACTTGTTCGCTTTTGCGAAATCGCAAAAAAAGAGATTAAACGTTTGCGCGACGACAACCATCGATCGTACGTTTCCTAGCCAATGGAGGAACAAGATTGTTCATAAAAGATCTGGGAGGAGCCTATCCTTGAAGGAGAGAACTGGTTTAACATGCGTACTCTTTGCAAAGGTGTTCGCAATGGAGTCGTCAGCTGCTCTCTCTTTCTTCTATAAGCTATTAAGAAACGATCGCATAAAGAAATGAATGTCACAAATTGATATCTTATTTCTGAACCATTATTTTTTTTTTTTTTCGCATAAATTTTGTTCGAATGAAATTTTTTTCTATTCTTGAATGAAAACGATCAGCTTGCAATAGAATTTGCAATACTCATTTATCTTTTTTTTTTTTTTTTTTTTTAATTCATTCGAAGACAATTGATTGATGGATTTATTCTTTCGCTTAGCCTTTTCGAATGTTTGGATATGAAAAATAAATTATTTCTTCGTATTCGTTTCAAATATGCGCGTCTACGTATTTGTGGATGAACGTATGTATGTAAGTATGTATGTATGTATGCATGTATGTATATATGTATGTATGTATGTATGTATGTATGTATGTATGTATGTATGTATATATATATATACATATACATAGAGAGAGAGATTATATATATATATGTATATATATGTACATACATACATAAGTATCATAATGTTAAATTTCTGGTGTAAAATATATTTTTGACTGTAGAATTGAACATATGAATAAGTAAAGTATACTGTTGATAACCTGATCTCGCATTTTCAAACATAACGAACGATCTCTTGCAAACGATTCCTGCTTTGATGATTATTGTACAATTATATGCGAGACGCGTATTTAGATACATAAAAGTAAATCATATTTCGGTTCTTGTTACGTCAAATTTTCATATTTCTGTCCTCACATTGTTTGCGTTTCCTGCTTATATTTCATCAATAGTTGATATATTAGTTTAGTTCTCGAACACATAAACATGGAGATACGATTAATTCTTACAAAGTATTATTAATTCAAATGATATATCAAAGCGGGTTTAAATTTTAGCAACTGTTATCATCGGGAAAAATAACTTTTTACGATCTTATCGTTAGTAAGCTAAATTATCGATCATAGGTAATACACCGTTTGTGTCCTCTTTTATCCTGCGAAACTAAATTCGTACTACATATGTTTTCCCGCCATTTTGTTTCCTACGCGTTTTAATAAATTTGAAGATTCGCGTCAAATGTACGCGATACGAACAATGAAATTGTTCAAAATAATGTAAAAATATATATTTACATTTTTAAAAAAATGATCGAATAATTGATGGAAAAGAAAAAACGAAAAAAATGTCAAATTCAAATTGAACGGAAGTTTCATCCATGCTTCATCATTTAGCGTTAAAACGATGTCAAATACATGTTTAGATAATATATTGATTACAATACATATGATACAACGTATAAAACATTCGACATTATTCGATTTATGCTTTGCTTGGTGTCAAAAACGTATCAAAACAAAAGATGCACTTGTCTCGAAATCTTACCGCTTTGTAGTCGTAAGATGATCGAATGAGTAGTAAAGTGGAATAAATCATCTGTTAATATCGAATAACGCAAACACGAGTGCAATAGGAGACGCCATTGATCGATTTTGAAATCGATGAAGCGACGATTGAGTGCAATCAAAGATAACGATAATTAACTTCAATGATGTAAAAAGTATGGTTCGAGAACTTACGATTTGTTACTATGATCATATCATTAAAAGAAAAAGATAAAAATTATTAGAGAATGAACAAAATATACTAAATCAAAATGGAAAACGTGTAAAATGACATTTACTTAGTTGCGCGCCACTTACAAACTGATGATAAGAGATACCTTCTTAATTATCATTGATACACATCACCGCCATCTACAGAGAATTTTGAATATTTTAAATATTGCGTTTATATATATATATATATGCATATATATCGCATTTTTCATTTAATTTTAAATTTTAATTCGCGATTATTCAAATTTAAATTTAGATTTAAAATTTAATGACACATTTGTTTGTAAGAATAATGAACTGAAAATTATAAATGAATGAATATGATAAATGAAAGAATAGATATGTCTTTTCGATACATAGATGTCGCAAGATTATTCAGTTTTATATCGATGAATTAACGAATAGGGATAATGAATGAGATGCAGAATAAGCTTATCGATCAACGCATTTATATTCCACGTCTTTGGAAAGCTTGAAAACTATGAGTTATAAAATGTGGATGTGACATTTTATGAAATTTGATTCCATATATTCTGAAATATCGACTTTCAAAAAAAATCTATATTTCTCTTCTGTTATGGCCATAACATAGGAATTAACTACAGTTTATATATATAGTAAGTATTTACTTATATATTTATGTGGGCAATAGCTGTGAAAAGATGATATGTACATCGTTAAGTAAAAAATAACAAGTTGTGTACTTGATAACTATTTTGGTTATAGAGCTAGATAGTGATAATACTAGTTTTAGTTTGTTATGATTTACAAGTTTTTATTACAATTTATTGTATATCCAATTTTCATTGTACACTAATTCTATAATTACTAAAAGTTTTTTAAAAATTTTCATATAAAAATTATTTTATTTGGTAAAAAAAAATTAAATAGAATATTTCAAATTTTATATATAATTCTTATTTTTAGAGATTTCAATTCAATATTTTCAGATATATCATGTATATCATGTATATCATGTATATATATATGCTGTGTCATGTACATATTTACTTAAATATGTATAGTTAAATATATACTTATCTATTATCTATTTCAAATAGTAGAATATTGATAGAGTTAGGATACAGAATGCACGTAACATCTAATGCATTTTTTGTCCCATATCTCGAACATTTCATAGCATTTTATTATTTTCGAATCATTCTCAACATTAATACATATGATAATTGTTGGAATTGAAATCCAATTTGTAAAAAATATATTTCGCAACAAAGGTGTAAAATACTTATTTCTATTTTTATGAATATTATGATTTATTTTCATTTTTTTATACATTTATCAATATATAAGTACAGTTCTTTAGTAAATAGATTTATTTGTAATAATTGTGAAAATTGTAAAAGTTAATTGAAAATTATTTAGAATTACATATTCTATAAGAAGAACCAGTGTGGTAAAATTGAAGACAAGTAACAATTTTAATAAAATAAATAAGAATAATTGATAAAAAATAAATTTCATTTTTTTATTAATAATGTATAATGTCTTTTTTCTTAATGGCTTCAATTATTCTCTTTATATTATAATGATTTATATAAATTTTTATTGACTTTTTAATTTAATGCTTTTCATTTTTTAAGAAAAAAATATAATTTTTTCTTTTATATTATCAATTTGTTCGCTATTTAAATAAATAACTTGGACAAACATTCTCTAACAATTGTCAATAATATTGAGATATACAGATATCTACAATATATATATATATATATATATTTAAATTTTTGTATTAAAATTTGTTGAAATCATCCGATGAAAATGTTTAATCAATTGATCATATTATAATTTGCTATTCATTTTTTGATGAATAAATTTGATATTATTTTTATTACAAATATTGCTTCCTATTTCCGTCCATTTGTCTTTTTTGTTTCATAAGTTCTTTTTTTTCTAATGATAAAATTAATAATTTGATCTATCTATTATTTAAATTAAAGCGTATTTTTATCGAAAAATAAATTACTTTTTTACTGTTTATTCTCTTCTCTGCTCTTCGGTTGTAAATTTATTTTATCAATTTATTAAAACTTATTTTTTTATTCTTCCATTTATATTTTTGCATTTTATTGTTGCAAAGTATATTAAGTGAAAAAAAATTTTTTATTTCAACGTGATAATTCAAATGTATATACTGTGAAGCATATTACAAATTTTCTAAAAGTAAATAAAATTAAAGTTTTATCAGGATTTGTCTGATCTTCAAATTTCAATATTGTTGAAATGTAATTGGTTGAAAAGAATGTCTGAGATATTTATTCAAATGATAAAAAATTTGATAAAAAAATAAAAAAAATTGTATTTCAAAAAAACAAAAAATATTGTAAAAATATAATACTACATATTATTAATAAGAAAATGAAGTTCTATGAAAATATTTTCTAGAAAATATTATTATTTATTTTACCAAAAATATTATTATTTATCTTATATTTTTATCGTGTTGGTTTTTTTTAAAGAATAGATAAATAATAATTTAAATAATCTCATTAACTTGAAATTTTCAATTATTATAAATAAGTTATACATATTTTGTTAAAAAACTATATTTGCACTAAAACTATATTGATTGATTTATTAATTGTACAATAAAATAAAATAAATTATAACATTCACTAAAATAATAATAATATTTTATAGTTCTATCGCATAGTGTATATTTCAATTTCTCTATTTCTGATTGTTTTTTATTAAAAATAAAAATATATCTTTTTTATTTGTTCAGTATGATTCGAATATGGTATATTCGATAATGGTATATTTATTTGAAGTTTGTTTTTTAATATAAAATTAAATATAAAATAAAATAAATATATATTAAATATAAAATTAAATATAAAATTAAAGCATGCATGTATTAGTAAAAATTTATTTACTGTCATGCAGAAAGTGAGTTGACAAATTTTTCAATCATATTACTATTACTATTTTAAAG